CGGAGCTGCAAACTGGATGGTCCCCCTCGGACCTCTGGGTTTCCTGGCTCCTGGATCTCTAGGGAGGTGCTAATCTAGCCTTTGCCTGAGGCTATCCAGCAAAAGCCTCCCTGCAGGGCTGGGGTGGGGCGGGTCCCACGGGATCAACAGGGGGAATGCTAGCAGTTATGGCTGCTCTCAGTCTTGCGCTCAGTGGCTCTGCTTCTCAGTGTCCCGGTAATCGCTGCAAGCCCCTGGGATTAATGATTTTGAGTTGTTTTTTTTTCATGGACTTGTCGCCATGTGTGGATCTTCTTTTGTCAACTGTCAGTTGAAATTTTTTTCTGTTTCGGGAAGGTGACTTTTTTTGTGTGATTTCATTAGTAGTGCCTATTGAGCAAGTGGTACTTAAAGTTTTTGATCTTAGAATCCTTTACCTTCTTACAGGTATTGAAAACCCTAAAGAACATTTGTTTGTGGAGATTGTATCTATCAGTGTATCTTATTAGATCTTAAAACCAAGGAATTTTGAAAATAATCGTAGTTGCAATTATATACCTACTACATGTTAATGCAAATAAAATTTTGACTATTTTCTAAAAACAAAAGGGAAATTAACGGGAAGCAAGACATTATTTACTATTTTACGAATTACTTTAATGATGGCTTCATAAAAGGGAGTTGATTTTTATCATTGAAGCATATAAAGAAAACCGTACATGTGTTGAGAAAAGGGAAGAGTATTTTAATGTCCTTATTAGATAATTGCAAATACTCCGTTGATGCTATTTTTAAAAATACATATTTTTATTGATTTCAGAGAGGAAAATAGGGGGGAGAGAGAGAGAGAGTGAGAGAGAGAGATATCAATGAGGAGAGTCATTGGTCTGCTGCCTCCTGCACACACCCCACTCGGGATAGAGCCTGCAATCCAGGCATGTGCCCCAACCTGGAATCAAAACCATGACCTCCTGATTCATAGTTCGACGGTCAACCACTAAGTCACCCTGGCCAGGCTGTTGATGCTATTTCAAAACTTGATAATTGGTGTAGTTTCTTAGTGTCTTGTGCCAAGATTGAATTTGAAAGCACTATAAAGATCTTTTCCTTGGTGTGTCTTATACTTAAAATGAATCTTTTACCTATGTATGGCTTGTAACATTGTGCATTGATTATTTGGGAAATACTGGTTCACTAAATTGTGCAGGTCTTCTACATGTGTGTCCACTTTGACATATTTTATTATTCAGTATTAAAATATCACATTTCTGAAAATCTCCACTTAACAGAACAGTCATTAAGTATTGGGAAGCTGTTGACAGCAATGTTAGTTTTGTGGTGTTTGTTGTTGTTTTTGTTGGTGTTTTATGGGTTTTTTTGTGTTTGTTTTGTTTTTTTGTTGTTGTTTTGTTTTTGCAGTGACAGGGTTGCTTTGTTCACTTTTCAAAAAATACCCCCTTCAAGTAAAAATAGTTTTCCATCAGCCTGGCCAGTGTTGCTAAGTTGTTGAGTATCAACCTATGAACCAGGAGGTCACGGTTCGATTTCTAGTCAGGGCACATGCCCAGGTTTTGAGCATGATACCCAGTATGGGGTGTGCAGGAGGTAGCCAATCAATGATTCTCTCTCATTGATGTTTCTATCTCTCCCTCTCTGAAATCAATTAAAATATATATATTTTTAAAAAGGTAAGGTAATCTAATTCAGGTTACAACTCAATCAAATACTTTTTCTCAAGATAATTGTGGAAGCACATTTGCTGCAGAAGTATATTATATATACAGTACTTCCCATCTCATGCAGAATGTTAACACATATTTAAGGGTTTGAGATTTAGTTAATTTTATGGTTTCATCAAGGACATTATTAAATAGAACCAGCCTTTCTTTTCTCCCCTGCAAGTACATGGCAATGAAAACTAAAATGACTATTGGGTGTTAGTGCCTTGATTTGTGCTAAGGTGGTAGTAATTTATATCCATCATTGTTTTTGCACAATTAGCACAAATGTCAGCACAAGTTATTCCAGGATAAACTGATGCAAAAAAAGTATTCACCATTTATGTTTGTTACCATGCAGTCACAGTAAAGATCTTTGATAATCAATGAAGATTTCTAGTGATTAGTTGATGCTGGTATCAGATAAATACAGTCAAAACTAAAAGTCCAGCCACATCTGTAAGCCAAGTTCTCCAGACAAGTTTTGTATTTGCAGATAAGTTTTTAATTCAGTTAGTTACTTTAGCCTTGGCAGATGGAAGTGCCTGTTTTTTTCATTGACATTTTATCCAGTAGGCTTTCAGTATTGTCTGCAGTGCTGTAAGAGTTTATAAGTCTCTCAGATACTGTGTATACTTTTTCAACTGATGCAATATAATAACTTACTCTTTAAAATACATCATTGGGCCGAAACCGGTTTGGCTCAGTGGATAGAGCGTCGGCCTGCGGACTGAAAGGTCCCAGGTTCGATTCCGGTCAAGGGCATGTACCTGGGTTGCGGGCACATCCCCAGTGGGAGATGTGCAGGAAGCAGCTGATCGATGTCTCTCTCTCATCGATGTTTCTAACTCTCTATCTCTCTCCTTTCCTCTCTGTAAAAAATCAATAAATATATTTTAAAAAAATAAAATAAAATACATCATTGGTATTTTTATTTTGAAAAGCTATAACAATTTTTGGCTTTTAACAAAATCATATGTGTTTTTAAAATATTAAATTCCTTTTTTAAAAATGCTGAATGATCTCAAATAACAGTGCAATTGGATTGGCACCATAATTCAGTTTCAACATGTTCTATTACACAAGACACAACAAAACAACTTAATATTTATGCAGCCAAAGGGAAATAGGTTTATCATATTTTCATTTGTAATTTATAGTTTCATCCAGTTAATTTGGAATATATTTTCTTCTTTTGTGTGTAAGAGAATACTAATATGTCAGTTTTTCATTTCATCCGTACGCAGTGGATTAAAATCACAAATCATCTGATTCCCTTAAAAAAATCTTTTTAGGTTGATTTTAGAGAGAGAGGAGAGGGGGAGAAAGAGAGAGAGAGAGAGAAAGAGAAACATCAGTGTGATAGAGAAACATTGATTGATTGCTTTGCAT